CAACCAAGGGGCTTTGTTCTTAGTCTTAACTCCTTAAGTCAGGTAGGAAATTGCAGCACTACCTAAAGGAATAATACTTGAGCTAATGTAGAAGCATTTTCTTGAATTGAATTTCTCTCGATTATTAACACTTTGAATTTGCTTTCTAGTTGGCACAGAAGAGATAAGTTCCTGAGAAGCATGCAAATCAAAATGCTGGCTAACTTTTTCTGTATTTTCCATCAGTAACGTTTAATTTATTTTTTATCTAATCTGGTTTAAGTGTACCTGTTTGCTATCCTTGTCTTGGAAACATTTATTTATAAGGAATTAATAAGCTATTCTTATAATTAAGAAAATCTGGTAGATACTTGTTTTATATGAGAAGGGACTACATTCTAAATGAAAATCAGTTTTAATGTAATAATGTGATAACGTAGATATTTTTGGTACCATATTTCAGTAGAGATAACTTCTTCCTCCACAGGCAAGGAGTCTGGACAATAATTAGACTTTACTCGTTTTATGTAATTATAGCATATGTTTGATCCTTAAAAAAAAAAAACAAACAAAACAAAACAAAACAAAACAAACCTTTGCATTACTGTTGAGTTGAGTCCAACTCATAGTGACACTATAGATAGAGAAGAACTTGCTTCATAGGGTGACCGATGCTGTGATCTTTACAGGAGCAGACTGCTACATCTGTCTCCCTCAGAGCAGCTGGTGGGTTTAAACCACTGACCTTTCGGTTAGCAGCCAAATGTTTAACCATTGCAACACTAGATCTCCTTAATTGATCCTTAAGACACTATTAAAATTTCAAGTAGTTATGGTAAATTAGAATGAGGAGAGGATGAAGGATTCTCTTTCATTACATAGAGTTTCAAAGATTTTGATTGAGTTAAAGGATTAAATCTCTTTGTGGATAAATTGCACAAAGAAATCATAGAAATATTAATTAACACCCTCCCACACACAGCAGTGATGTGTTATCTGTAAGACTATAAAATATAAATCAGTTAGATTTATGTGTTGGAAACCTTAAGAATATTCCCTTTAAATTATAAACTTCTTAACCAAGAGGAAAAACAAAGAGTTACTCATGAAAAGTTAGAAATTAAAATAAACAAAGGATCTGAAAAGAAGAAAATACTTCGTGGGCCTTACTAAACAAGATTAAGAAATGATTATTCTCTCTTTTTAAATTTTACCTCTCTGATGCTTTTAAATTTAAAAGGTTTTCAGAACTTGCTACCATCCATTTGACACTTGGGTTCCTTCGCATTATTGGGATCTGGGTTTTCTCTCAATTTCAATGTAAAAAGATGTCTCAAACACCAACTAAATATCCAGGTCAAAAGACTAGACATAAATAACAAGCTAAGAGAATAGCTCGATGTGAACATATATGGCTATGGCTTACTGCCGTGGAGTCGGATCCAACTCATAGCGACCCCTCCTTGGGTTTCTGAGGCAGTATCACTATGGAAGTAGATTGCCCAACCCTCCTTTCGAGAAGTGGCTGGTGGGTTTGAGTCGACAGACTGCTGGTTAGCAGTCAAATGCCTTAGGCACTACGCCACCAGAGCTCCTTTGTGAACATAGATACTCCCAACAATTTTCTCGGTCCTTTAAACAGTGTCAACATTATGACTCATTATTTTGTTAATGCCACTGGATAACTAGGGTGCTAGGTGGAGGGACTGTTTAAGCAAAAGCTTAGAAGACACTAGATATCATTTCTTCCTCCACAAAGAGTCTTCGCCTTAATCAGAACATCTGAAAAGCTGTCACAAATGTTTTCCCCTCCTCCCAGTCCACAGGATGTGTGACACTGGCCAACCTGAAGGGACCTCTCACCTTGAAAACATGAAAATCTCTGCTTTGCTCGTTGCCCCTGTGTCTGCTGTCCTGATCAAAACCCAAAACCAAACCAATTGCTGTCTAGTCAATTCCAGCTTATGGTGACTGCATCTGTGTCAGAGTGGAACTGGGCTCCACAGGGTTTGCAATGGCTGATTTCCCAGAAGGAGTTTGCCAGGCCTTTCTTCTAGGGTGCCTCTTGAATACTAAACCTTCTGGTTAGCATGTTAACTGTTTTTACTACCCAGGGACTTCCCTCTTGTACATGGAACCTCTCATATTTCTTCAAACCTACCTCCATGTCCATAGAAATTCAAACAAATATAGGACTTAACAGTGTAGGACAAACAAAAATAAAATACTTAATAGTATAGGACAGACAAATATAGGTCTTAACAGTTTACAATGCATCTGCTCTTCACAGCACACTTGTGAGGCTGATTTTCTCAATGCACCATTTTACAGAAGAGGAAAACAAGGCTTCAGAAGAAAAGGCACTTGGCCAAGTCTCATGTTATGACGTTCTAAACTTGAAAGCTTGATAAACACAAACTTTCTCAGGCTGCCCATTCATCCTGACTTTGGAATTTGTTCCCCACCCCCACCCCGCGAGGAGGGGAGGAACTCTTTTGTCTTTCTTTTCTCATATTCTATGCTGTGCTTTCTTGTTGGGGAAACAAAGAAGAGGAGTACGCTCCATTCTGACCTTCTAGAATCTTCTAGATGAAAAATGTTCCCCTAACACATCAGGTCTCTGGAAGCCATGGCGTGGGCACAGCCTGAGTTTGACTGCTGAGACTGCTCAGTGATTCTCACTTTAAGAACTGGGCAGGCTCTATCCAATGCAGGAATTGGTCTGTGTGCCAATGCAGAGCCTAGGAACATGAGCCACCAATCAGTGATTACCACTTATTTAGAGCTCACTGCAGAGCCTAGGAACATGAGCCTCCATATCAGCGATTACCACTTATTTAGAGCTCACTGCACTCTAGATGCTGTCTTCGTATATATATATATAATTGTATTTAATCCTCAGAACAACTCTTGGTTGACACACTATTCCTATTTACAGATGAAGAAACAGAGGCACAGAAAGCCAGAGAATTATGCTATTAGGATGTGTGTTCTGTGCCCTTTGCCTTGTTTTATTATTGTTGTTATTTATAATATACACAGCAAAACGGACACCAAGTCAATAATTCCTACATGTACAATACAGTGACATTGATTACGTTCTTCAAATTGTGTAGCCATTCTCACCATCCTTTTCCAATTTGTTCCTCCCCTGTTGACATAAACTCTCTTCCTCCTAAGCTTCCTATCTAACAATTCTAGTTAACAGTTTGATCCCACATGTTATTGTTGTTGTTATGTGCCCTCGAGTCGGCCCCAACTCATAGCGATCCCTCCTTGGGTTTCTGAGGCAATATCACTACGGAAGTAGGATTTCCCAACACAGTAAGTTCTTTAGAAGAGTACAAGGCTCACTGTAGTCATTCTTTCCTAGTTCAACCAGACTGTTATTTGGTTTAAAGAAGGCTTATGGTTTCAGGGTTAAAGATTATCTCAGGGCAATAATTTTGAGGGTTTATCCAGCCTCAGTGGTTTCAGAAATTCCTGAATGCCATGAAAGTTGAAATTCTATTCTACCTTCCCTCCCACTTTTCATCAGAATTCTAGAATCTTTTATCAAAATATTCAGTAATGGCAGATAGTGTGCCCCTTACCTTTTAAAGGAGAGTTTAGTCAGAAATTCATTAGTATCAGTCCTGAGCAAATAGTTCCAGTCCTGAGCAAGAACATGGAAGTTTTCAGTCAAAATTAACTCTTCCTTACTCAGCTGCCATGTTTGAGGAACATGAGTAGAAGGGGTAGATAAAGAAAGAAAATATCCCTAAGGGGAGGAAATGACTTTCAGAACCTTCCTTAAATGGGGTTTTCTTGTCTTCCACCGCTTGTGTCTGATGACTTTACGTTAGCCCATACACTTCCCAACAAAGCAACCACAATGTGATTTAAAGCAATGTCATACTTGATCCTGCCATACTTTTTCCATAGTAATTGTGTAAGAACACAATAATATTTTTTCAACTCACACATTAGGGAGAAATGGTCATAATTTTGTCAACAAGTGTTAGAGAAGTATCAGCTGGATAGGACTCACAAGGGCTGAATCACAGCTCATTTGGATCAGCAACTGAATGGTTGATAGACATAGCAGTGATGTTGCCACTGTTGTGTTGATCTCTCAGACCTCACAGTCAGAACTGAAGGTCTTTTCCAGAGAGGCCCTGATGGTGCAAACAGTTAAGCACTCAGCTGCTAACCAAAAGGCTGGTGGTCTGAACCCACCTAGTGGCCTCATGGAAAAAGGACTGTCAGTCTGCTCCTGGGGAGCTCTGGTGGCATAGTGCCTAAGGCATTTTGACCACTAACCAGAAGGCTGGCAGTTCAAACCCACCAGCCACTCCTCAGAAGGAAAGTTGGGTAATCTACTTCCGCAGTGATACTGCCTCGGAAACCCAAGGAGGGGTCGCTATGAGTCGGGTCCGACTCGACAGCAGTGGGTGGGTAATCTGCTCCTGTAAAGATTATGTCATAGAAAACCTTATGGGGCAAACCCTAAAGGTCTGTCACATGGAGTTGCTATGAGCCGGAACTGACTCAACGACACCTAATAACAACAACAGGCCATTTCAGAGGGCAGTGGTGACTCAGTGGTAGACTTCTGACTGCACATGCAGGAGACCTGGGTTTGATTCCTAGCCATTGTCCCTCATGTGCAACTATCACCTGTCTGAAAGTGGAGGCTTGCATGCTGCTATGATGCCAACAGGTTTCAGCAGAGCTTCCACAGTACAGTGGGCTAGGAGGAAAGGCCTGGCACTTCACTTCTGAAAATCAGTCCATGAAAATCCTACGGATCACAGTGGTCCTATCTGCAACCAATCAAGATGACGGTACAGGCCTGGGCAGCATTTTGTTCCATTGTGCATGGGGTCACCATGAATTGGGGGCTGGCTTGAAGCTAATAACAAAATCTTTTCCATAGGTCTCTCAAGGGCCCAGCCATCCTTCATGTGTATTGACTTCACAGTGATTGATGATTGTGCTTTCTAGTTATGAGAATACTATTTTCCTTGTGTTTCTATCAGAATGTGAAAAAAACCAACTGGTTCCAGGAATGGCCAGATTCCTATGCAAAGTATATCTACAGCTCAGAAGACAGGAGTGCACAGAGGCACCTGAGCAGCTGGGCCATGCGTAACACCAATAACCACAACTCTCGCATCCTCAAGAAATCCTGCCTGGGTGTGGTGGTGTGCAGCCGTGACTGCTCTGCCGAGGAAGGCCGCAAGATCTACCTGCGCCCTGCCATCTGTGACAAAGCCCGGCAGAAGCAACAGAGTGAGTAGAGTTTGATGGAACTGGCAGGGAAGCCGGTATCAACTCACATGTTCCTCCCGGGATGGGCTGCTATGTGCCCACACATCCCACGTCACACCAGATGTGGGAAAAACAAAGGCTATTCCTACATACAGCATATGAAGGGAACCAACCAGACCCCTGCACCCCCAGTATCAGTCCCACTGATCTGCCATATCCAGAGGCACTGCAAAAAGGGCAAGGAGGCCACATGTTCTGACCTCCTCTAATCCCACAAGAGGAAGACAGGGTTACCAGCAGTAACCCAAGGCCTATTACTGCAAGGCCAGACATGCTGCCTCCCTCCAGCCCTTTCTCCAACCGTTCCTCCCAGAGCACCCACCACCTCTCTCCTGGGTTCGATAATTCGCTGCAGTGGCCACACAAAACTCACAGATTACGATGTTTATTAGGGAAGCACCAAGCTACAATTTGAGTTCAGGAAAAAATGCTCAGTCTCTCTCTCCAGCCCACCATCCCTCAGCCAACAGTCTCTCTCAGTCTCTTTCCCAGCAGTGCTGGTCCCTCAGTGTCTCACTCAGCAATGCATGTCTCTTGCGTCTCTTTCCCAGCAGCACGTGTCTCATTCAGGAGCGTGTGTCTCTTTCCGCAGCACGTCTTCCTCCACCAGCAGTCAGAGCGAGTTCTGCCTCCAGGAGGTCTCCTTTTGAGCCCGGAAGGGTGGTCAAACTAGCCAATCACAGCCTCAGAACTCTAACCACGTGAGAGAGAGTGGGCACCTCCCAGAACATTGTTTTGTGCCATACCCAACAGAAATACTCCAGGTGGACAACTTCAGCAATCAGGAGCTCCTCAGTTGCTCATAGAAAATCCCACCTTGGGGTTTACAAAGACTTATGGGTAGAAAAGCCACATTAAGTAATTTACTACACCACAGGCACTTAATTCAAATCCCCTGTTGAAAGGAAGAAGTGTCCCTTAGGGAAGTAGTATTAATTCATCAGTGCACCCATACAAAGTTCAAAAGAAAGTAGTTTATCAGGTTTGCCCCTTTGGAATGGGCTCCTACGTTTTCTTGATGAGTGCTTTAATCAAGAGTAGGAGCACTGAGATTAAATATGAGATTGGACTGAATTCTATATCATTGAGGGTCATACCATAGTCACATGCTAAGATACTTGTTCATTTGATTTCTTTTATTCTTTTTTTTTTTAACCATATTCACTGACTCATGAAATAGATAGACTCAGTGTTCTCTTTACCTTTCCCTCTTCAGACCTCAAGTTACATCATGTACTTTCTTTGTCATTTGTCTTCAAAATACTCTCAAGGCAAGATCTGGTATCAGTTATTTACACCTTAGTGAAAATCTAACTTTTCCTTTCTGTCTTTTTAATGATCAATTGCTTTCTTCATGTATAATATTCTTGGTGTCATCCCATAACTCAACTGGTCTTTGGTCATTGGTGTTCAATGCATTAAATCTATTCTTCAAATGGTCTCTAAATTCAGATGGGATATAATCAAGATCATATTTTGGCTCTTGTGGACTTGTCGCTCTTGAATATGGAGTAGCTAAAGCAAACGGAAGGATCTCTGGTAGCATAGTGCCTAAGGCACTTGACTGCTAACCAGAAGACTGGTGGTTCAAACCCACCAGCCACTCCTTGGAAGGAAGATGGGGCAATCTACTTCCATAGTGATACTGCCTCAGAAACCCAAGGAGGGGTCGCTATGAGTCGGGTCCGACTCGACGGCACACAACAACAACAACAAAGCAAATGGAAGCAATGATGACATGAAACACCTGAACAGAAGATTTCAAAGGGCGGCTCAAGAAGACAAAGTCAAGTATTACAGTGAAATGTGCAAAGACCTGGAGTTAGAAAACTAAAAGGGAACAGCACACTTGGCATTTCTCAAGCTGAAAGAACTAAAGAAAAAAAATAAAAACTTTGAGTTGCAATATTGAAGGATTCTATAGGCAAAATATTGAATGATGAAGGAAATATCAAAAGAAGATGGAAGGAATACACACCTTGTTGTTGTTGTTATGTGCTGTCAAGTCGGACCCGACTCATAGCGACCCCTCCTTGGGTTTCTGAGGCAGTATCACTATGGAAGTAGATTGCCCCATCTTCCTTCCGAGGAGTTGCTGGTGGGTTTGAACCGCCAGCCGTCTGGTTAGCAGTCAAGTGCCTTAGGCACTATGCTACCAGAGCTCCCAGATATACAACTTGGTGTGTACTAAAAAGAATTGGTTGATGTTCAAATATTTCAGGAGGTAGCATATGATCAAGAACAAATTTGTACCAATTTGAAGGAAGAAGTCCAAATTGCACAGAAGGAATTGGTGAAAAACAAGGCTCCAGGAATGGACAGAATTCCCATTGAGATGTTTCACCAAATGGCTGCAGCACTGGAGGCATTTGCTCATTTATGCCAAGAAATTTGAAAGACAACTAGCTACCTGGTCCACTAACTGGAAGACATCCATATTTGTACCCATTCCAAAGAAAGGTGACCCAACAGAATGTGCAAATTATCGAACAATGGTATTAATATCACATGCAAATAAAATTTTATTCAAGATAATTAAAAAATACTTGCAGCAGTATATTGACAGGGAACTTCCAGAAATTCAAGCTGGATTCAGAAGAGGACATGGAATGAGGGATGTTATTGCTGATGTCAGGTGGATCTTGGCTGGAAGCAAAGAATACCAGAAAGATGTTTACCTGTGTTTTATTGACTATGCAAGGCATTTGACTATGAGGATCATAACATATTATGGATAACATTGCAAAGAATGGGAATTCTAGAACACTTAATTACACTTGTGAAGAACCTGAACAAAGACCAGGAGGTTGTCATTTGAACAGAACAAAGTGATACTGCATGGTTTAAAATTAAGAAGGGTGTGCATCAAGGTTGTATCCTTTCACCATACTTATTCAATCTGTAGACTAAGCAAATAATCCAGGAATCTGGACTATGAAGAATACAATGTCAGGATTGGAGAAAGACTCATTAACAGACTGCAATATGCAAATGACACAACTTTGCTTACTGAAAGTGAAGATGGCTCAAACCACTTGCTGATGAAGATCAAAGATTACAGTCTTCAGTACTGATTACACTTCAACATAAAGAAAACAAAAATCCTCACAACTGGACCAACAAGTAACATCACAATAAATGGAGAAAAGATTGAAATTGTCAGAAATTTCATTTTACTTGTATCCACAGTCAACACCCATGGAAGTAGTCAAGAAATCAGACGTCATATTGCTCTACGCAAATCTGCTGCAAAAGATCTCTTTGAAGTGTTAAGCAGCAAAGATGTCACTTTGAAAACTAAGGTGTGCCTAACCCAAGCCATGGTATTTTCAATCACCTCATATACATGTGAAAGCAGGACAATGAATAAGGAAAACCAAAGAAGAGTTGATACCTTGGAATTGTGGTGTTGACGAAGAATAATGAAAATACCATAGACTACCAGAAGAATGAACAAATCTATCCCAGAAGAAGTGCAACCGAATGCTCCTTAGAGTTGAGAACGGTCAGATCTCATCTCACTTACTGTGGTTATGTTGTCAGAAGGGACCATTCCTTGGAGAAGGATGTCATGCTTGGTAAAGTAGAAGATTAGTGAAGAAGGAGAAAACCCTCAATGAGAAGGACTGCAATGATGAGCTCAAACATAGCAAGGATTGTGAGGGTGGTACAGGACCAGGAGGTGTTTCGTTCTGTTGTACATAGGGTTGCTATGAGTTAGAGCCAACTTGACAGCCTCTAATAACAGCAACAACAAAAATCTAAGTAACTATATTATCTCTTCCATGTGGCTCTGCCCCTTTAACCCTTACTTCTAATTGTGAAATGAAAGAATTTTTCCTTTTCTCTACAAAGAATTTTAAGTAGGGAGGGGCTTTAGAAGAGCTCTTCCCTGACCTGTGAAATATTCCACTGGGTAAGCAATTGCCTACTCCGTCCGTTGGAAGACTGGTTTGGGCTATTGCTATGGCCAGGCCTCTGAGGGTCAGGAGGTAATACCCAGTTAGGAGAAGCCCATACTACTGAGCACAGGTTTATTCTGTCCTGTTCTGGAGTCAAGGTTACCTTGGAAAGGCAGCCTAGACTCAGCAGTTGCCTGACGTGGCTCAGCCAGATGGTCACTTCCATCTGCTCTTTTGCAGGGAAACATTGTCCCAACTGTGATGGGCCTCTGAAGCTAATTCCTTGCCGGGGCCATGGGGGCTTTCCAGTCACCAACTTCTGGAGGCATGATGGACCCTTCATCTTTTTCCAGGTTGGATTTGAATTAGAGTCCTGTGACTCAGTTTCTCTTTAATTCAACAGATGTTTACTAAGTACGAGTTGCTTCACCAGAGGTTGAAGATGTACAGGGACCTGAGAGTCTGTACTAGTGCCAGAAAGCTCATGCTCTGGGTGAGGAGGCAGGCAGACATGAGCAACTATCTGTATGCTGTACTTAGAGGTGCAAAGTGCTTGGGGAGCCCCAAGAGGGGAGCAAAGGAAGCGTTGTTAATCTGACCCCACAGTCAGTCTATCTCAGTGCTTCAATTAATCTGAGTTTGAGTACCTCCTCTGACTTTTGACTAGCTCTGTAATCCCGAATAAATCGCTTTACTTCCTTAACCCCTAGTTTCCATAAAATGTGAATAATAAGAACTATTAATGAAAGTAGAATTTCCTTGGGTGGGTCAAATGATAGAAGCTCTGGTAGCGTAGTGCCTAAGGCATTTGACTGCTAACCAGAAGGCTGGTGGTTCAAGCCCACCAGCCACTCCTCAGAAGGAAGATGAGGCAATCTACTTCTGTAAAGATACCACCTCCGAAACCCAAGGAGGGGTCGCTATGAGTTGGATTAGACTTGAGGGCAGTGAATTTGGTTTGGTTTTTTGGTGGTCAAATGATTTGTGCTTGACCACTAAGGAACTCTGGTGGCATAATGGATAAGGCAGTTGGCTGCTAACCAGGTCAGCAGTTCAAACTCGCCAGCTGTTCCACAGAAGGAAGATGGAGCAACCTACTTCCATAAAGATTTCTAGCCTGGGAAACCCAGTGGGGATCACTATGAGTCAGAATGGACTCAAGGGCAGTGAGTTTGTGTTAGAGATTGACTAAAGGTTAGTGGTTTGAACCTGCTCAGCTGCATCATGTAAGACAGGTCTGCTTCTATAAAGATTACAAGCCAAAAAAAAAAACCCCTGTGGGGCAGTTCTACTCTGTAACACGTGGAACTGTCATGAGTCAGAATCAATTCTATAGCAGCAATTTTTATTTTTTAATGGGTGTTGTGGTTACCTAGTGCTTCTCTGACAGGAATATACCACAAATGGGATGACCTTAACAAACAGGAGTTTATTCTCTTACAGTTTGGAGGTTTTTTAAGTCCAAGTTCAAAGTGCCAGGCTCTAGGGGCTGGGTGAAAACCCCTCAGCCTTGGGCTTCAGCTCTGTCTCCAGCTCCTGGCCCACTGAAGCCAGAGGCTTCTTTCAATCAGACAGCTGCTGGCTGCTGAGGCTGCCAAGCCCAAGGTTGACAAGTAACAAGACACAGTCCCGATATTACCAAATCACACGGCAGACCGTTAATTCAAGTCCATTGTAAGTCCCAAGGTCGGCAGAGCATGGCAGGCTGCTGAACAACAACGTAGCTACATGCAGGGTTCAAGGTGCCATAAGCCAGAGACTATTTTCAAGGCTTCTTCTTATATACAGGAAGCAGACCACATCCCAAAGGCAGCTACTCAGCTGCTTGTAGTAGATCCCAGCATGGAGTTGATTACCACTCTCATCATGGGGAATAACTACCACAGCTGCCCAGCTACTCAACCAGGCCCAGCCAAGTTGACACACAAACATAACATTATCCCCACAATGGGGATAATGGTGTAGATAGGCACAGAGGCAGGAAAGAGCATGGTGGCCTTGGGAGATACTTAAAAAGATTACCAGTCTTGTTAAAATGGTTATATACAACATCCAGTCATATGGCAGGGCATTGAGTAAAAATGTACTCGATACAATGTAGTGTTTATTTTCTTGTTTCCTATTTAAGTCAAAGGGAGAGCATGATCATCCAAAACCAGAAACCAAAGTAGAAGCAGAGGCAAGAAGAGCAAGGAAGAAAGTGCACAGCGAGACTTCCTCTGCCTCTCTGAAGCTGAAGGGGAGCTCAGAGACAAAGGTAGACTTTCACCATGTATGTTCAAAGCATACTGCAACTTGTGGGCGGAGATTTCCATGGTCCCTTACCTAAATGAAATCCAAAAATCGTACACCATCAAGCTGGTCTAGAAGCAAGCATCCTACCAAAAAAGTTTTACTCTTTATTTCTACTATCTTTGAAGCATATAGGAGCTATAGTGATGTTGTGGCTAGAACATTGGGTTGCTAACCAAAAGGTTGATGACTCAAAGCACCAGCCACTCTGGGAGAAAGATGAGGCAGCTGCTTCTGTAAAGATTTGTAGCCTTGGAAACCCTCTGTGACTCGACTCTCTCTGTCCTATAGGGCTTCTGTTCTCAGTGGCTGTGGGTCTGGTTCTTTGCTGTAGCATGTTCTCAACGGTATACATTCCACATTTTAGAACCATCTTCCTACTAGAATTTTTTAAAAGAAACTTGAATTGGTACTTTATTTGACACTCCATATTTTGATTCTGATAGAACCAAAACTGACTGAAATGATCTCCACAAAATATTAGCCTCATGCTTTCTTCCCCAAAAAACATCTATACCCCCCACAAACAGATGATTTCCTTAGCACACTCTACCAAGAGTCAGTCATCTACAAGATAAATAACCAAGCAGTTTCTGCAAATGTGTTCATCCAGGGCTACTCCCTGAAGACAAATTGGATGTGGAATCCATTGCTCTATGAGCATATTGTCAAAGCTTTGTGCATTTGTATGTTTAAGTGTGATAATAATTCCTTTATTTTTTCTACTATTCAGTAGTATTCCAAACTTTTCTGGAGAACAGAGATGGAGGTGGCCCATCCCTGGAAGCTCTAAACATACTTTATGGAGGTTTCGAAACATCTTTGTCCTTTAAGACAAAGGAATAACATGGTTAAACAAGATATGATTAGCTGGAGAACAATAAATATGCTTCCTATAGTTATTTAAAAAAAAACTAATTTGTGATAGCTGCACATGATGAACTAAATTGATGTCACTGAGTTGAACACGTAAAAATGTTGAATTGGCAAATGTTTTTTACCACAGTAAAAGAAAGAAGGAAAGGAAAAGAGGGAAGGAGGAAAGGAGGGAAGATGGAAGGAATGAAGAAAAAGAAAGGAAGGAAGGGAGGGAGGGAGGGAAGGAGGGAGAAAGAGAGAAAAAGAAAAATTTACCACTTTTTATTTTAGAGGCCCTATTTATGATTCTAAAACTGTTGTTGTTGTTATGTGCCGTCGAGTCGGCCCCGACTCATAGTGACCCCTCCTTGGGTTTCCGAGGCAGTATCACTACGGAAGTAGATTGCCCCATCTTCCTTCCGAGGAGTGGCTGGTGGGTTTGAACCGCCAGCCTTCTGGTTAGCAGTCAAGTGCCTTAGCCACTATGCTACAGATACTGCCTCGGAAACCGAAGGAGGTGTCTCTATGAGTCGGGTTTGAAACGATGGCACATAACAACAACAACAACATTTATGATTCAGAGGAGCTCTGGTACCATAGTGCCTAAGGCACTTGCCTGCTAACCAGAAGACTGGCGGTTCAAACTCACCAGTCACTCCTCGGAAGGAAGATGAGGCAACCTACTTCCGTAGTGATACTGCCTTGGAAACCCAAGGAGGGGTCGCTATGAGTTGGGTCAGACTCGATGGCACATAACAGCACACACACATTTATGATTCAAAGGAGCTCTGGTAATATACTGCCTAAGGCACTTGACTGCTAACCAGAAGGCTGGTGGTTCAAACCCACCAACCACTCCTCGGAAGGAAGGAAGGTTGGGCAATCTACTTCCATAGTCATACTGCCTTGGAAACCCAAGGAGAGGTCTCTATGAGTCGGATCCGACCAGACAGCACATAACAACAACAACAACATTTATGATTCAACCAAACCAAGAACACACAAGGTCTCCTGAGGGCGGGAAATCCAACAACCCGTCTCTCAGACTCCAGGTTTCACCAAAACAGAAAGGTCAAGGAAGCAAATGATATTAAAAAAGGATGAGGGAGGAGAAAAAGGCCCGAGAGGTTCACCGAGTATAATATAAATATTTAGAGCTGCATTTTGTTTATTCTTGAATAGCTCCTTTTAAGTTTTCCACAAAGACTATTAGGATATTAGATTTGCATTTGAGGATGAAACATCTAAAACACATTCACGTTTCTTCAGAGTAAAAGGAAATTCAGCTGTTCCTAGCGGGTAGCTTTAAGACTGAAATGGAAGCAATGTTTGCCTCATTCAGGTCTTGGGCGGTCGTGGTAAAGCTGCTCTCTCATTTGAGCTTCAAGTATGTAAGGAATGAGGACAGTCTGACGGAGCCCTGAATAACTTGTGGCTGCCTGTGGTAGTGGCGTTAGTGTGCTTAACTTATTAACATGAGCCTTTCCTTTTCCTTTTCAGGCTCTTCCAGGTGAAACAAAAAGCCGTGAAAGTTTGCCTTTAACTTGGTCTTTCCAAGAAGGTATCCAATTGCCTGGTAGTTACAGCGGACCCTTACTTTCTAACGCTCCCCAGCAGAGGTCACTGAATGGTTGTTTATCCTTCTCCAAGAGTTATGTTTTTGGGGGGACGACTGATCTGCCTGATGCCCCTTCCAGCTTGGGTCCCACTAAGCTCTATGAAAAATGCAAATTGTCTAATAGTAGGATCTACAGTAGTGCAGACCTGCTTCAGCCTTCTGTCTCTGGAATCTACCCGGATTATGAAGATCTGCAAGCATGGAATAAAAATGTGGCTTTGGGGAGAAATCCTCTTAATGACAAATGTTGCCCCAGTTATACTTTTCCTCTGGTCAGCTGGCCTTATGACTTCTCCCCTTCTCTGAACTCTTCAGAATCCTGTTTCCAGCAGATTCCTGTGGAACCACCTGCAGTCAAAACTAGCTGTCACCAATTATGGCCAAACCCAGGGGCTGATCTTTATGAAGAGAAGGTGCATGTAGATTTTAACAGCTATATCCCTTCCACCTCATACCATTCACCTCAGGAGGATCCTTTTCTCCTCACCTATGGCCCTCATCCTCACCATCAATATTCCCTGCCAGGTAAGAGCAGTAAATGGGATCTTGATGAAGAAATGAGATACATGGGTTTAGACCGTTGCAACAGTGAAATGCTTCTAAACCTCTGTCCTTTAAGATGACTCATATTTTTTACAAACCCCAAAAAATCTGATTTGGGAAAAGATGAAAGAATAATAAAAAAAAAAAAACCATTTAAAAAAAAAAAATAAACCAAAACCGTTGCCATTAAGTCAATTCTGATGCACATAAATTGTAATCCTGACAAGTTGAGGGCAAGACTTCTTCCTTCACACAAAAAGTGACATTTTGTGTCTCTCCTTCTTCACTCTTGGACTCCCAAACTCAGCAAGATGTGGAAATTTGTTTCATCTGTGAAGTGAAATGTTTTCTGCTTAGTTTCACGTTGTTGTGGCTCTCAGCACTCAGTTGCATCATCTGTTGGTTTTCCATTATCCCTGATGTATACTGAACTAAAGAGATATAAAAAAAAACACATATCTTGGATCACTATGTTCTTATTGTGGTATTGATGAAGAATATTGAACACACTGTAGACTACTAAAACAACGAACAAGACTATCTTAGAAGAAATACAACCAGAGTTCTCTTTGGAAATAAGGATGACAAGACTTTGGCTCATTTACTTCGGACACGTCATCAGGAAAGACCAATCATTAGATAAGGATATCATGTGTGGTAAGGTGGAGGGTCAGCAAAAACGAGAAGAACCTTCAATGTAATGCATAGACACGATAGCCGTAACAATGAACTCAAACATGCCAGTGATCACAGAGATGGTGCAGGACCCAGCAACATTCTCTTCTTTTACACATAAGATCACCATGAGTTGAGACAACTTGGCAGCAGCTAACAACATCTAGCATCACACAATACCTTCTTGCGAACTGTGAGAAGGAACTGGGAGAGAGGGTTAAAGAGCTGCAGGTGTGGAGAGCTGAGCTGATACCTGAAATATTTAATACTTTATCTAGATATGAGATTAGTTCATTAAACAAGTGTTTTCTTGTTGATTTCTAAGATTTATCAAACAAGGATTGTGACTCAACTCCATTCAATAAAGACATTAAGTCACAAAATTAAACGGCAGCACAATGAGAAATTCTGGTCATACAGAAAGGCCTCCTCCACCTCTTCTTCCTTCTTCTTCTTCACTGTCTTCCCCTTCCACGAGGGCTTAGATTTTGTCCAGTTCATCTTTATTCTTTACAGCACCAGATTCATAATGTGTGCTTGATAAATGTTAACCTAAAAAAAGGCTTGAGGTAATGAACATGATTGCTATCAGCCAAAATACATATTTGTGGTCTGAAATATTTTTCAATAAACATGACCCTAAACATCAAATCTGAAAAGAACATGCAACAAATATTTTTCTTAAGTACATTATTTTCATTCCTAGTTGAATGGTAGTAAATACACATAATTTACACATGATACAATTTCAAAAATGAAAAAGCAGTGTCCTGAGACTGGGCTGCTCCCTGAGGTAACATTAACCAGCTTCTTATATATTCTTCCAGAGATTGTTAGTTGTTGTTGTTAAGTGCCGTCGAGTCGTTTCCGACTCATAGCAACCCCATGCACAGCAGAACGAAACACTGCCCGATCCCGCACCAGCCCCACAATCC